CTTCACCTGCCACGCCTACCAAGCCACACCCATGGAACCGGTAGTAAAAAATTTTGAATCCCACCACTGGTATACACACATAGAGAAATATAATCTACCAGCGTCTTTTTATTCCACTCTGAAGCTTGTTATTCCTGTTTCACTGCTGAGCTGGGCTACAAGATCCCATATGAAATATGTTAGGGAGAGATAGAGCAATAAAAATTAAAATGGCAAGAAACACTATCCGGAGAACGATCATAAAAATCTCTGTGTTAAACATGTCGTGCACTGCTGGCATTTGGAAGACAAGTTCCAGAGGACCAAAGGAGTTTAGGAAATCACTTACTTGTGATTAGGAAAATATTTCTTCAGGGTACAACACACACATACACCCCAGCACAGATAAATACCTTGTGTGTCAAATCACACTTGTCTAATAAGGAATATTCTATTCTATTCTATTCTATTCTATTCTATTCTACTCTACTCTACTCTACTCTACTCTACTCTACTCTACTCTACTCTACTCTACTCTACTCTACTCTACTCTACGCTATGCTACACTATGCTACGCTACTTCTATTCTACTCTATTCTTCTCAACTCTACTTAGAAATCTACACTAATTCTATCAACTCTATTCTATTCTACTCTACTCCATTCCATTCCACTATCTTCACATTAAATGTATTTGTGACATGTATTCCATTCCATTCCATTATCTTCACATTCGATCTATTGGTGACACCATAATATATTAAAAAGCACAGATATTTGGAGGAATGGTAAACTTCCTGTTCTGCAACCCACATGGTATGGGCACTGCAATACAGGAAGAGCTTCCAAAATTATTTCACCCCACCCATTCTGGATATGTTTAGGAGAGAAGCATTTACTACTATCCTTTGTTTTTGATTGGATCTATGTTTTTTTTTTCAAAGTAGGAAGGCAATCATGGTCAACACTATGCTCAAGACAAGGTAAAGAAATAAGAAACTAAGCTCTGACTCTAGAAGGAAAATTTCCTGGCATCTATGGAGATTCTCCATCACCCAGATCAAGGTGGTCAGAACTGAAGAAGCTTCTTGGATGAGAAGCAAAACATTTTCAAGGAAAAACAAACAAACAAGAACTTGAAAAAAGCAAGTTATGACCATTTTTCACATTTACTACGCTTGCCGCAGCCCTGATGGTCACACGATCAAAATTCAGATGCTTGGCCAATGGCACATACTTAGGATGGTTGCAGTCAAGTATCCCCCTTCGGCAACCTTCTGGCAAGCATGGTGAACGGGGAAGCCACTTAATAACTGTGTTATGAGCTTAACAACTGCAGTGATTCCCTTATCAATGGTGACAAGAAAGGTCATAAAAATGGGGCAAAATTCATCTAACCAACGTCTCGCTCAGCAACCGAAATGTTGAGCTCAATTGAGGTCATAAAAAGAGGACTTCCTGTATTTCCGCACTCTACGGTAGAACTATTTCATGATTCTATGGCACTGTTCTGACCCAGATCCCCAAACACAACAAACCCACTGAAATGAACTCAAAGATTCCTTTATAAGGAGCGCTAGCAGCCCGGCAAAAAGCTTCTCTCTCAACGCCGGTTAACAAGTCTGTCCGACAGGGAGATGAATAGTTATCTGCCACATCTATTCATCTCCACCCCCTGCTATTTATCCCCAGAGCTAGGGGTGGGGCTTTGCTAGCAGTGGTGGCTCTTCCATCCCAAAGACCGGCCCATAGATTTCCACTGCTCTCCTCTCCTCTGCCTTCTGCACATCCGTGCATCAGGCACTGGACTTAGCTGTTCCTCATCAGCCACCTCCAGACCTGGGGGCTGTTGTCTCTCCATCTGAGGGCTGACAGACGGCCCAGGCTCCGCCTCTGTCTCTCTCTCTCTCTGCCAGCTCCATTCCCTCTTCCCCCTCAGAGTTCTCTTGATGCTGACCCTGACTAACACACCTCCTCCTCCTCCTCTGATTTAACTGTGGGAGGGACTGATAGGTGACAACAAGCATGCAAATGCATTCAAATGTAAATTAAGCCAAACATTTACACAACATCTGGAACAGGCTTTGGAGAGGCACTTATGTGACCAACTACCTTGATAGACTCCCTTCAGGGGAAAACATATTTTTTGGTGACATATGTACAAGCGTGAACTAAATATTGGTGGCAGATGGAATGGGCAAGCAAGTTCTCCAAAGAGATCCATGACAAGCGTCGATTCCATCTTCTTCCTGCTTCAATCTGCATGTCATAAAATATCCATAATTGTGTCGATTCGAAGAAGCTTTTGAATATGCATTTTTCTCTCAGGATACCTCAGCCATTTGAGATGTGTTTATGGAATCAATAGCCCTGCATGGAAAAAAAATAGAATTCCATACACCTGAGCAGTGTATAGATATTAAAAAGCTGGTGTCAACCTTGGGGCGTGTCAAAAGCAGGTAGGTTGCGTCTTCTATCTTAAATCCTTCTTCTTGCAAAATCTACATGGAAGAACATGAAACATGACTCGTTTTGGCCACCACATTATAAAAAAAAGAAGATGTTGAGACTCTGGAAAGAGTGCACAGAAGGGTAACAAGGAAGATTAGGGGGACAGAGGCTAAATTTATATAAAGAATCATTGCATACATTGGCTCTGTCTAGTTTAATGACAAGAAGGACTAGGAGTGACATGATAGCAGCAAGGCACCAGAAGACAAGACAAGAAACAATGGATGGAAACTTAAACAAGGAAAGAAGCAACCTAGAAATAAGGAGAAACTTCTTAACAGTGAGGACAATCCACCAGTGGAACAGCTTGCCTTCAGAAGTGATGGGTGCTTCAACATTGGAGGCTTTTAAGAAGAGATTGGACAGCCGCTTCTCTGGAATGGTATAGAGTCTCTTGCCTGAGCTACAAGCAAGGTCCCTTCCAACTCTGTTATTGTGTTATATAACCTAACATAAAGTCTACGGTAGATTTTAATGGAAGAGGGTTTTTCTTAAAAAAAAACCACACACACACACACCAGAATTTTGTATACAATCATCCATCAAACAGCAAACACCATAATGTATGCTATATTCTTGTGGCATATCTTATTCCACATCAGATATTTCAGCTATACCCATACAGAAGACCACAGTAACATGTTTTCATGGTCACGAGACTTCAGCTCCAGAAAAGGGAAGTGTTACATGCAAGAAATTTGGCTTGCAAAAAAAAAAAAAGGCAGTTATAACAAGACTCAGCAATGCATTAGCGATGATGCTTGGGTGTAATTTTGGTAGCATGCAGCATACTTGTTTTAATGGGCACATTTATTTACTTAATAGATTTTATTTATATTTTTATTTATTTATTTAATTTATTTAATTATTATTCACTGATTTAAGTTTATTTATTTATTTATTTATTAATTCATTTAAAATTATTGGCTGCCCAATAAGAGATGGAAAGGGATTCCAAAATCACAACCAAATTTCCCCCCCCCAGAAAGTGTTTAGAAGCTCTAGAAATGTTGAAGGAAGGCCTGATATGAATTAAGAAGAGTGTAGTACATGAGTATTTTAAAAGGCTGAAGGGAAATTATATTTTTCTGCCTTGGTTTGCGGCTTCGGTCCTGACTGGACTCCTCACGATGGATTAGTTTTTGCATATAAAATGACTGTAAATCCTTCCAGCAAGATAAGATCAGCGATGGATGTGATTTTTTTTTTTCAAACATCTAATAAGGTGCCACAGAGATCACAGAAAATACCCCTGGAGGTTTGGAGAAGAAATTAGGCCTCAATTTGTCTGGAACGGTATAAGGCCTCCTGGTTGCACAGCGGGTTGGATTAGAAGACCTCACGGGTCCCTTCCTTCCAGCCCTGTGATTCTGTATTCTGAATTACAGCTACTGTAAAGACAGGATCCAAATATGTTGGGAGAAGATGGGGTAGAGTGGATAAACATTAGAACTAACTACGCGTCACCAAGGAATTTCAATCTGCCGCTCTCTGAGGTATTTATGTGGTTAAGGAATGAGGACTTGTGAGAAAATATCCACCCCCTCGATTTACCAGGCGATGGCTGGTTTTGACACTTCATCTTGCTTTTTCTACGGATTCGATATTCCACAAATTGCCTTTATGGTTTTGAGTCATAAACAGTGCTCCATTGAGAAAAATCACAGTTTAAAAAAAAAAAAAAGCAAAGGATTGGAGGGAGCATATTGTCTCTCTGGAGCAGTTAAATTGTCCAGGCCAGCCCCCCCTTTTGTGTGTGTGAGTGTCTGTCTCTCTCTCTCTCTCTCTCTGTGTGTGTCTTTGCTGTGCTGGAAAAATCCCAGGGGGAAAAAAAGGAGACTCTTTATAATGCACCCTACCCTCTGTGCGATTTCCATTATTCCAACAGCTGCTCAATGGTCTAAATTAGCAGGATTTTCATATACGTTCAGTGAGAGGATAATTGAAAAAAACGAGCTTTGACAGATATAATACATGATTCCGGCAGCATCATTAATGTCCCCTTTAAGAAGAGATAACTTCCCTTCCCTCTTTTTTTTTTCCTGCCCTCCCTCTTCGTGTTTTTATTTTAAACCATCTGCTTACTACTACGCTGGCAGAGAGATTCCCTGGACACAAGAGCCCATCATCGTATTTCCCCGCTCCAGCTGTGCACCATTGCCCCAGATGCTCTGCGTGGCAGAGATTTCAAAGCTCAGAACCTCAGTGGGCTCTGCAGACTAAAATGGGAATTAAAAACAGCTTCCAAGCCCCTCTCAAAAAATCCCAACGCTCATTGTTATTCTTAGACTGGAACATTACAGACTCGGGACTAGAAATAAATGCAAAATACAGGCTCAAAACAGAGCAAATTTGCAGTCTCCCAACTCCAGTTAAAACTCTCCTTTCCACCCCCCTCTAAATATTTTCTCCTGCTTAACGACTCAGAGACCTGAAAAACTTCCATCCCTTTGATAGATACATAGATAGATCTATTTCTCCCCAGCAGCCATGAAAAGTTTAATAGCCTACCATTTTCTTTGCATTCTTCGGGTGGTTTAGCCTTCTTCGCCAAGCGCGGATCCAGCCACGATGTAGTCTTTGTGTTATGGCTGAAAAGAAAAGAGATCGCTCCGATCAGACACATTGCCAATGGATTCACGTTGATCCCCTTTCCATACCGGTTGAAAAGGAGGCAGGGGATGGGAAAAGGAAGAAGAAGAAGAGGAAGAAGAGGAAGAAGAGGAAGAAGAGGAAGAAGAGGAAGAGGAAGAAGAGGAAGAGGAAGAAGAAGAAGAAGAAGA